CTAATTTTTCTTTCTACAGTTGCTTTGTTATTGTGTAAGAAAGCAACTGGTTTCTGTGCATTGATTTTGTATCCTACCATATTACTGAATTGCTGTATGAGTTCTACTAATTTGTGGGTGGAGTCTTTTGGATCTTCCACATAAAGTATCATGTCATCTGCGAAGAGAGAGAGTTTGACTTCTTCTTTGCCAATTTGAATACGTTTTATTTCTTTTTGTTGTCTGATTGCTGTTGCTAAGACCTCTAGTACTATGTTGAACAATAGTGGTGAGAGAGAGCATCCTTGACGTGTTCCTGATCTTAAGGGAAGGGCTCTCAGCTTTTCCCTATTGAGAATGATATTCGCTGTGGGGTTTTCACATATGGATTTTATGAACTTGAGGAATGTTCCCACTATCCCTATACTCTGAAGAGTTTTAATCAGGAAAGGATGCTGTATTTTGTCAAATGCTTTCTCTGCATCAATTGAGAGGACCATATGGTTCTTCTCCCTCCTCTTATTAATGTGTTCTACCACACCGGTTGATTTGCGAATGTTGAACCACCCTTGCAACCCGGGGATAAATCCCACTTGGTCGTGGTGGATGATCCTTTTAATGTATTGTTGGATACAATACAGAATCCTATTAGGGAGGATTTTGTTGAGAATTTTGGAATCCATATTCAGCAAGGATATCGGTATGAAATTCTCCTTTTTGATGGGGTCTTTGCCTGGTTTTGGGGTTAAGGTAATGCTGGCCTCATAGAATAAGTCTGGAAGCTTTTCTTCTGTTTCTATTTTCTGAAACAGCTTCAGGAGAATAGGTATTATTTCTTCTTTGAATGTTTGGTAGAATTCCCCAGGGAATCCATCAGGACCTGGACTCTTGTTTTTTGGGAGGTTTTGGATTACTGCTTCAATCTCGTTACTGGTTATTGGCCTATTCAGGTTGTCAATTTCTTCCTGTTTCAGTCTTGGCAGCTATAGTTTTCCAGGAATGCATCTATTTCTGCCAGGTTGCTTAATTTATTGGCATATAGTTGTTGATAATATTTTCTAATAATTGTTCCTAGTCCCTTGGTGTTAGTCGCGATCTTTCCCCTTTCATTCATAATTTTATTAATTTGGGTCCTTTCTCTTTTCTTTTGGTTAAGTCTGGCCAGTGGTTTATCGATCTTATTAATTCTTTCAAAGAACCAGCTTCTAGTATCATTGATCTGATCTACTGTGTTTCTGGTTTCTAATTCATTGATCTCTGCTCTAATCTTAATTATTTCTCTTCTAATGCATGGCTTAGGCATCGTTTGTTGTTTTTTCTCTAGTTCTTTAAGGTATAGTTAGTTGGTGAATTCGGGATTTTTCTATTTTTTTTTCAGTGAGGCTTGGATGGCTATGTATTTCCCCCTTAGGACTGCCTTTGCAGTATCCCATAGGTTTTGGACTGATGTGTTTTCGTTCTCATTGGTTTCCATGAATTGTTTAAGTTCTTCTTTGATTTCCTGGTTGACCCAAACATTCTTGAGCAGAGTGGTCTTTAGCTTCCAAGTGTTTGAATTTCTGCCAACGTTTTCCTTGTGATTGAGTTCCAGTTTTAAAGCATTATGGTCTGAGAAGATACAGGGAATAATCTCAGTCTTTAGGTATCGGCTGAGACCTGATTTGTGACCCAGTATGTGGTCTATTCTGGAGAATGTTCCATGTGTGCTCAAGAAGAATGAGTATTCTGTTGTTTTAGGGTGGAATATTCTGTACATATCTATGAGGTCCATCTGTTCCAGTGTGTCATTCAAAGCTCTTGGTTTTTTGTTGATTTTTTGCTTAGATGATCTGTCTATTGCTGATAAAGGAGTATTGAGGTCTCTTACAATTACCGTATTATTATCAATATGACTCTTTATTTTGGTTAACAGTTGGCTTGTCTAGATGGTGCTCCCATGTTGGGACATACATATTTACAATAGTTAGATCTTCTTGTTGGATAGGCCCTTTAAGAATGACATAGTGTTCTTCTGTGTCTCTATCTACAGTGTTTAGTTTAAAATCTAATTTGTCTGGTATAAGAATTGCTACCCCAGCTTTCTTTTGAGGTCCGCTGGCATGGAAGATGGATCGCCATCCCTTCACTTTCAGCCTGGATGTATCTTTAGTTTCAAAATGACTTTCTTGTAGACAGTATATGGATGGGTCCTTTTTATCCAATCTGCAACACTATGCCTTTTTATGGGAGCATTTAGGCCATTCACGTTGAGAGTGATTATTGAAAGATATGAATTAATTGTCATCATGTTGCCTGTGAAGACCTTGTTTTTATAGAATGTCCCTGTAAATTTCTGTTGTATATCACTCTTGGGGTCTTTCTCCTTTTATAGAATGCCCCTTAATATTGTCTTGCAGTGCCGGCTTAGTAGTCACATATTCTCTCAGTTTCTGCCGGTCTTGGAAGCTCTGCATCTCCCCAACCATTCTAAATGAAAGCCTTGCCAGACAAAGTATTCTTGGCTGCCTGTTCTTCTTGCTTAGTACCCTGAATATGTCTTGCCAGACCTTCTGGCTTGCCAGGTCTCTGTGGACAGGTCTGACATTATTCTGATGTTCCTCCCTCTGTACGTAAAGAATCTCTTCCCCCTAACTGCCCTTAAAATGGTTTCCTTGGTTCTAAGATTTGCGAATTTTACTATTACATGCCAGAGTGTTGTCCTGTTTTCTTTGTCTTGGGAGGGGGCCTCTCTGCCTCTAGGACATGAATGTTTGTTTCATTCCCCAGATTAGGGAAGTTCTCAGCTATGATTTGCTGAAACATATCTTCTAGTCCTCTCTCTCTCTCCACCCCCTCAGGGATTCCAATAATTCTGACATTGGAATGTTTCATGGTGTCACTTATTTCTCTGATTCTTTTTTCATGGAATCTGAGTTGTTTTTCCCTGGCCTCCTCTTTTCCCTTTTTATCTATTAAATTGTCTTCCAGGTCACTCATTCGTTCTTCTGCCTCGCTTATCCTAGCTGTTAGATTATCTAGATTAGATTGGCTCTCACTGATAGCATTTTTAAGTTCTGCCAATTCAGCTTTCATTTCTGCCCTTAGAGACTCTATGTTGCCATTAATTGATGTCTCCATTCTAGCTTTTGTCTTCACAATTGCTAGCCTGAATTCCATCTCCGACATCTTGGTTATATCTGCATCCATTTGTAAATCTGTTGCATAAGTCATAATCTCTGAGTCTTTTCTATTTGGGGGGTTCCTCCTCCTAGTCATTATGTTGAGGGGTGGTTGAGGGAATGTATAGAGTCCAAATTATTGACCAGAACCCAAGCAAGATGCACCTGTTTTCTAGGGACCTTAAGGTTGCTGACCTCTTGTTTTCCCAGCCTGTCTTCTGGGAGAGGGGCCTGGTGCACTGTTACTCAGGCAATCTTGTTTGGGCAGAGATGCCCTGCCCCTGCGGCAGGGGATGGGCTCAGTGGGAACCAGTTTTTTGTGGCTTTTGTTCTCTGGCGGCTTTGTCTGGTGGTTTTCTGTGTCTCTTCTGAGAGTCAGAGCAGAAGTGACCATTTCCCACCCTCTGCCTCAGAGCAGAGAGATCGCAGTCCATTCTCCATGAGCTCTCCAGGCCACACTATCTCCTTTTCTGTCTGTGCTGCTATAAACTGCAGCGTCCTTGGTTCTGCACGCCTCAGCAAGCTCCCAGTTCTCACCTCCAGGTTGGGCATGTCTCTGCCCTTTGTGCTTCTAAAACCGCCAGCCGTCCCCAGTTCACATGCACAGCCTAGCCGCTCTGGGTATCATTCGGGGTCTGCCCTAAAGTCCTTTCCCAGTCGCTACTGGTCTGCAAGTCTGCCCCCAGTCCCCAGCGCAGGAGGTTATCTCTCACTGGCGGTGTAGGATCACGACGGCTCGGCTCCCTCCCACTTCCATTTATCTTTGGATATGTGCCACCGTTATCACAGCTCCCAGCTTCATACCTCGAAACCAACTGCCTGTGATATTCTCTTGGAGATCCAGGTATAGCTTCTTACATCTCAGGCTGATTTCATGGGTGTCCAGAGTGATCTGGTAGATATCCAGCTCAATTCTGGGGACCAGTTGGAATAGGGTCCCCTACTCCTCTGTCATCTTTTCCTCCTGCCTCATTTTGTCTTTAAAGTTATTTGCTTTTTAATGATGTATTGTATGGTGACCAACATAACATAATAAAATTTAAAAAAAAGTTGTTTGCTTTTAATGGGTACAAAGACATTTTTCTTTTTTTGAAATAGGAGTTCTTAAAGAAAATTCAGGCCAGATGAGTCTGCTTTCTCTCAGAGGTTCTAAACCAGCTACCAAGCAGCCCTTAGGAGGTAGCAGAGAGCAGGCACTCTATAATCCGATGCAGTTAGGTTTGAATCCCAATCTGCCACTTTCTGCTGTGTGTCCTTGAGTAATTATGTAATTTCTCTGTCCGGAAAATAGAAACCCACTGGCTATTTTACCAGAGAGAATTTAAGACTGGGAATTGGAGGACTGTAAAAGCCAAAAGGCAACGCAGAGTCGGAGTCTACTTTTTGAAACAACACCCTCACTTATCTACTCCCCTCCCCCCAACACTTCTATCTGAACTGGAGGTCTGCCTCTCTCCAGACTCACATTCATGCAGTGGGGCCTCTGAAGCCATCTGCTTCATCCTTTCCACTAATATGCAGCCTGGTTTCTGAGGCCCCAGAGGGCCCCCAAGTCACCCTGGGTACCACCTGGGTCTTAATGGCTGGGGGAGAGTGGTCTTCTGGGAAAGCCAGGCCATGAAAAAGGAAGCTAGATTTACAGAGGTGGTGGTGGTGGGAGAGTATGGGGGATTTTCCCCAAGGGCGTCTTTGGCCTCCTGCCCCTGCCTCTGTTCTATGATTAACCAAGAACTTCCTGACTGTGCCCCTCCTTCTGTTACTTCAAGGCCCTGAGTCAGTATTTTAACTTTCCCCCAGGGCACTGAGTGCCCTTCAGTGCTCTACTGCTCAGCTCTTCACTTCTCCTTCAATGCATGCTCAGTGATGGCTTTTGGAATTATGCTCCTCCTGGGTGGTGAGTGGAGGCCCTCAGGGCTGGGAGAAGCCTGGAGGGGGTGCATCTCCGTCTGGTAGGGCAGATTGGGGATGGTGGTTAGCTCATATAGCTCTCTGGAGAAGCTGAGATCAGGGGAGGGCCCTTGTGTTTAGAGTCTTGTGTGGAAGGAGAAATGGCCTGGAATCAGGGGAGGGTCATAACCTGAGCAAAGATGAGAGAAGATGGACTTGTAGGTTATGCTTGAGTGGGGGATGAGCTCCCTCTCCATGGTTCTTCCTGTGGGGGTCCTGGTGTGTGTGTGGTACAGGGGACAGGAGTCTGCCCCAGGGCCCCAGGGGGAAAGCCATCGGAATCACTAGGGAGGGGAAGTGTTGGATATCACTTCCTTGGTCCCGCATGTCCCTCAAGTCTTGATTTCAGGTATGCTGTCCCACTGCTGCCAAGAGAATAGTCCAGAAATTGAAAACTGTATCAGGACCACATTCGTGTGTCATTTGAAATCACTTATATATGTGTCAGTTAAAAATCAGATTCCACACAGAAGCCTAGACTGTCAGCTTCTCCCGAGAAATGGGAAGGTCCGGAGCTCTGAACACTAGAGCTTGGTAATGGCTATTTCCTTTAAAAGGGCCACAAACTCTAAGTGCCCATAATTCCCTGGTACTCACACTTACCCACTTCAGTCACTGATGTCACCTGCCTGGCCTCTGAGGCATTTGAGTCTGAGACACTTGGCACCCTCCTACTTGTCAGGTCATAGAGCCTGTTTTCAGACTCAGAAACAGAATCATTATTTGAAAGGAAGATGTAGTATGTGACACTCCCTTGCATGTGGCCATTGTAGGGTTGTAGCACCTTCAACATCTGGCCTTTTCCTTAGAACCCTAGGGTTCAGGTGTCTAGACCCTGCCTGTCACCTCCTGGCCTGATGCTTTACCTCCTTAGAATTTCCTTACTTTGGGGGTTGGAGTTGACTCCTCAATCCAGAGACTGGGAATTCTAGTAGAAATGGGGAGGAAAGATGCTGTTTGGGAGTGAGGGTGTTGGAAAAAGCCCTTGAAATGTAGGGGGTCTTCCCCTGAGGTTTTTGAGCTTAGTCACCAGAGAGGAGAATGTCAAGGGTCAGGAGAGTGGGTTGGAATCCTGGCTGTACCACTGACTTGCTATGCAGTTCTGGCCCAGTCAACAAATAGTAATTAGTCATCTGCTAAGGGCCGGGCACTGTACCAGGCACCTCGCAAGACAGTTGCAGTCCTTGCCGTCTCAGAGTCTAGCACCAATGGGGGGGGACATGGGAAACACAAAATTACAAATAATCATAAAATTCTCAGTCTGTTCCCTAATCTGAACCTTAGGGTCTTTGTATAATGAGAAGATGGAGCAGGACAGTCTTTCGGAAGGGTGACCATATGCCCTGACCTGCCTGGGCCAGTCCCAATGACCTTGGTGTAATTATTAATGGTGCCCCTTTCACTCACAGAAGGGCTCAGTTTAGAAAATAAATTGTGTGGTCACTTTATCTTTAGTGGACACACCTGATCTAACAGACCAGGAGGTGACAGGCCTAATTTCAGATTGTGGATATCCTTTGAAATGACCTTGAGGGGACATTTTTCTGGATTGTCGCTCTTTGTATTGTGGTTTGATTATTACTGATGGAGGGAGAGAGACAGGAATCACACAGATGGCAAATCAGGAAACAAAGAAAAACAGAATACCCTTTTTTGGGCACATGAGCTGGATTGGGGTGGGCATCAAGATCCCAAGAAGTCAGGGGTCCAGTGGTGATACGCTTCTCTGACTGTTCCTCCTACCCCTGCCTCTCTCTCCATATTCCTCAGTCTTGGCTTCTTATCATGGATTCAACTTGGATGTGGAGGAGCCCGTGATCTTTCAAGAAGATGGAGCTAGCTTTGGACAGAGCGTGGCCCAGTTTGGCAGCTCTAGGTAGGCCATGCCTCCCCCATATCCCTTCAACCTGCCGGTAAATGGCTGAATATGGCATGCTCAGGAGGTGTCCTGAAGGAAGGGCAGCATAGGCAAGAAGCCTGTCCATCACTCCTCCAAGGCCCCTGGCACCCCTACTACTAACTATTCACAATCCCAGGAAGGACCACAAACTCTGGACAAGACAGTGCTTTGGGAGGGAGGTCTTGAATCTGTTCCTCTGTGACCAGTACCTGTGACCAGTATAGTCACCCTTGCACTTGGAGTAATGTTTTGCAGTCTTCCTCTTGAAATTATTAATAATTTAATCTTAGCATGTGTGTTTTGTATGTAAAATTGATGGGACAGTGGAGATGTGCTGGGGGCTTGGAGCCTTGGCTCACATGCAGCCCAGCCTTCTGGGGAATGTTTCTCAGCTGCTTCCCTCAGCCCCTGGCATTAGCTGAGCAAGGTCAGGTTTGGCTGAGGCACACAGTTCGCCCAGTCTTATGAGGGTTTGCACCGGTCTGGTGAGTGTCCCTGTGCCTGAGGGAATGCAGCACTAAAGAGCAAACAGGGAAATACCAGGACAGGTAGAGAGGAAGACTGCCAAAGAAAAAAAAAAAAAAAGGAAAACACCTTTTTTTCCGTGAGCAAGAATCCCCACATTTTTATTTCACTCTGGGACTGGCAAATTATGTACCTCACCTTGCCTCCAGAAACTCACATTCTCAGGTCCCAGGGACAGGGACCCAAAATGTGGAAGTTACCATGTCATGCAAGCATAACCAAAGTCTGGGAGGCATAGGAAGGGAGAGATCAAACCCAGAAGGGAATTCCAGGAAGCCTTCACAGAGGGCGTGGCATTGGCAATGAGCCTGAGAATACGGGAAGATTCAGCTGGCCAAGAAGTAACATCTTGAGGTCACTGAGTTCTATATACACATCCATCTCCCCTCTTCACCCAGCTGGCAGGCTGGGACATGGAAGCAAGTGCCAGGTGCCAGAGTTTTGTTTTTTCTTTCTGTTTGTTTTGAAATACAGAGCTTGTAAACTGAAGTGCACAAACTTGAAAGGTCCGACTCAATGAATTTTTCATATGTGTATAGCCAGGTAACTGCTGCCTAGATCAAGGTGTAGAACATCTTCAGCCCCCCTCCCCTGGGTTCCCTTGGGCTTTTCCCAATGATGCAAAGCCCAACAAATCCAAAGGTAGTGACTGCTTCATTTTTATCACCATTAGTTTGTGCTCAGGCCGTATTTAGAAGATACATATATGTATAGCTATTGATTAACCATTGTTCACCAGTATTTCCAATAAAGTAAATAACATATACTGGATGACATTCTGATTGCTACAAAGTTATTGTCGTTCCTGGTTTCTGCTGAGTCATAACCTAAATACCAAAAAGACTAAGCCTATGTGTAAGGGATGGATGGGGTAAAGAAAAGCATGTAGATCAATGGTTTAAGATATTTTCACCCTTTTAGGTCAGCAGGTACCAGACTTCTATGTCTCTACCACCTATTTAGGTTTCCATCAGCAATTCTCAGGCACACAGGGATTTCAGCTTTCCATAAAGGGATAGCTTTCTAGAAAGAATCTTTAAATACTAATTTAACAAGTCTTGCTTGGCTAATTAATTAAAAGACACAAACATTTATTTAGTTACCTGAGTGGAGAGGTTGTTGGTAGATATTATTTTTTATTCAAAATTAAAAAATTCTCTCCTTTCAAGGAGTTTTGCAAAAATTGTTGCACTTATGTGACTATAGATTTTCGTATGGATTCTGATACTGCTGCTTTAAATTGTCCAACTTAAATTATGTATATTTAAATTGTCCAATTAATTACAGAATCATCTATTTGTCTTGATAATTTGTGGCTTTAGCAGATTTTTCCATTTAACTTGAGGTGATCTATTTCTTGGGTGGCTCGGAATGATGGCACCCCAAAAACAAAATGCACTTGCCTATGGTTGGGAAATGCTGTTTTGCTTTGAATAGTTTTATTTTTGGTGAATGCTAAAACAACAGCAACACTCAAACCGTTTTGTATATAAATACACATTTATTTATGTATACATACACACAAACGAAGAAAAAGTCCAGCATGTGGACTTCGGCACATGTGGGTTAAACTCAGGCCCTGTTATTTGAAGCCTCATGAATGGCAAATGCCAAGAGCTTCCCTCTCAAAGTCTCACTTCCCTGCTACACAGTGATACTTCCTCACCCGAAGTGCCCTCTGCCCTTACCCCTCCTGCAATTATATGTCATGCTTGTGCCCTCAGAGTTGTGGTGGGAGCCCCTCTGGAGGTGGTGGCGGTCAACCGAACAGGACAGATGTACGACTGTGTGGCTGCCACTGGCTTATGTCAACCCATACCACTGCACAGTGAGTGACTGCACCCAGGAATTGTGGCCCTCAATCCTCCTCTACTGCAGTGCCCCTTCCTTGGCCTCTAGCCTGACTCTCCCCCCAAATGGGAGTGTGCCCATGAATGTAATCATGTGTATCTGCCCTCTCAGCACCCCCAGGGGCCGTGAACATGTCCCTGGGCCTGTCCCTGGCAGCCTCCACCAATCACTCCTGGCTGCTGGTAAGTTTCTCCGGGTCATAGGAGGGTGACAAGGGGAGGAGCAGGGGCCAGGGGAGGCTGGGGCTGGAGGAGAAGAGTATGGAGAATTTGGGGTGACCCCTTGCTCACACAGGCCTCTGCCCTTAGGCCTGTGGCCCCACCATGCACAGAGCCTGTGGGGAGAATATGTATGCAGAAGGCTTCTGCCTCCTGTTGGGCTCCCACCTGCAGACCATTTGGACCATGCCTGCTGCCCTGCCAGGTAGGTCCCTATAGAGACAGTAATTCTATGTGAGTACATGCTGGCACTGAAGAGTGGGCAGAGCATGAGACCATCGTCTTGGCTTCCTGTGCCCATGGCCCTTTCCCAGAGGCCTCAGCAAGCCCAAGAAGGTCTGGGAGCATGATCTGGCCTGGCAGGGAGGGCAGCTCACAGCAGGAACTCTAAGCTGGTCAAGAGGAGAAAGTTCTGATGGAGCAGAAGGGAGCCTCAGAGTGCTGGCTGCAGGAGGCATGAGGGTCTCACAGTTGTCGACAGATGCAGGGAGGCTTTTTGGACTTTCAGAGGAAAGGCCTTGGGTGGTGAAAATGTGGTGAGGATGATAGTTCCAAGGATCGAAGAGGGAGGCTGTTCTGGATCATTCACTGCTGAACTTCTAAGGGGAGAAAATGGTAGGGCCATGGAAAATGTGATGCACAATTTTGCCAGCACGGATGCCTTCTACAGAGAATGGTGCCAGAGACACTGAGCAGCATCTCTCGGAGGGCCAGTCTGAATAAGTTTGTCTTCTGTGTCCTTGGGACAAGTGGCTTCATTCCCTGGGCTTTAATTTCCTCATTGGTAAACTGGGTCTTAATAATCAAGGTGGTTACGAGGATTAAAAGATTTAATATATATAAAGTGTTTAGACCTCTGCCTGACACATAATATGTGAGTGCCATTATGGCTGATCTTCTAGCTAGGACCATGTGTTTGGAGTAGGAGAAGGAGATAATGGGCTCCAAGTCAGAGGGGCCACTCAAGGTGCTGACTGAGAGCACTGCTTTGGACTAGAGATGCCATGATGCCAGGCATGGTGGGCTTTTAGGCAAAGGTGAAGTTGTAGCAGAAACACCTCCTACCCTAATTGTGAAAACAGTCTACAGAGGGGACAGAGAGAGTGGAGGGTGGGCGTCCAGGAGTCTTGGGGGTACCATGACCTGCCTAGGATATCTGTGCAGCCAGGGTAGGGGATGTGGCATTTAAGCACTAGGAGGTAAGTCTCTTCTCCTAGATGTCCCCGTGACTCATCAGGTGGGATGCCTGATGAAAATGGAACACAGACACGTAAGCCCGGTGTAAGCAAAGCAAATTTGAATAGAGGTAGAAGTGACTGGGTGCCAGTCAATGCCTGATGCCTGGTGTGCATCTTTATTGCACCCTCACAAGTTTCGGGGTGCTAGGCAGGATGATCCCATCTTACAAACAAGAAAACTGAGGCTCAGAGAGCTGAGTTCCTGCTGTTAGGAAGTGACAGAGCTGAGACCTGGAGCCAACTTTGCCTGACTGACTTGGTCTTTTTTTTTTTCATAAGGCACCCAGCTATAGCCTGGTGCTTGCTATTGGAAGCCCAGTGGAGAGAGTAAAAGGAACAAGAAACAGAAGTGATATTGTGAGGGAACTTGCAACCATTGTGGCCTGAGAGAGGATATGGGGGTGGTTTTTTGGTACAGCTAACAAAGTAAGCACAAGTGCAAGATGTGGGGATGGAGACCTTCAGCTACCAAGCTGTGGGGGATATCAGGTGAGGAGGGGAGCAGTGAGGGCTTCTTGGCCTGCCACGTGGGGGGCTGAAATTCCTGGTCAAGAAACAGGGAGGGAAGTGGCCTTCCATTTCTTCTCAGCATGGGTGAAGCACCAGCTCGTTGCATAGGTGGGATGAGGGAGGTGTGGGGAGCGAGGAGAAAGTATTTTTGCTTCAGTGGCAGGAGGCCAGCTGCCACAGTTCAGCATCATGCCTCATTACTGTCTGTGGAGGCTGAGCTCCCACCACCATGGGAGCAACGCAGGATGTGAGGCACTGGTGGAGGAACCAGCTGTGTCCGTCACACAGGCCACAAGCACTTATGTGAGTTTGGTGTCAATGTGAAGTGTCTTATTTGTTTATGGGTGAAAGGTGTGACTTTCCATTATGGCGGACTCCATGAGGGCAGGGGTGGTATCTTTTTTTCAAGCTATGGTCTTAGACCAGGTTTCCTGAGAAATAGACTCTGAGGCTCATTTGGGAGTACTCTTGGGAGCAATAGTTCTGAGAGCATGAAGGAAGCAGGGCTGAGCAGAGAAAGAAGGTGGACTGTGATGGATCAGAACAGACCCTCAGCTAATCCAGAGGAGCTTGGAACATGGCTGGATGCAGGTCGCCCCCAGGAGCAGGAGTTGTAATCTTGGGCAAGGCATCTCCTGAGTTATCAACTGGGAGTCATCGACAGCTACCCCCTGGAGCTGATAATAAGGACCTCTGTCCTGAGAGAGGGTGTGGGTCTTCTTGGTGGCAACCTTAGCATCTGCTGCTGGTGTATTCTTGTACCTGGAAAAATGCCTGGCACATGGTGAAGATGTGCTAACACATCAGCTAGCCCCCATCACAGCTATGGGGGGCCAGCCCTGTCTTAAGCATTTTTGTACATATTAACACTTTTTATCCTACCCCATGTGTTAGGCACTATTATTATCCCCATTTTACAGATGGGAAAACTGAAGCCTAGTGGAGTTACATAACTTGCCTGAATTCACCACTAGTAGGTGGCAGAGCTGGGGTTTGAGCCCAGCATGCTCAGAATGCACACTTGAATCACTTTGCTAAATTGCCTTCCCCTTGTGCTCTATGACATTCCTAGTGTGTATTCAACAAATATTTGTTGATTAATTAAATGAGGAACCTATCTGGCCTCTGTCCTTTGCATCTTCTTCTTTTTTTTTTACATAGTTTTTTTTTATTTTAATGATTTTTATTTATTTATTGAGAGAGAGAGAAAATGATAGAGAGCATGAGAGGGAGGAGGGTCAGAGGGAGAAGCAGACTCCCTGCTGAGCACGGAGCCTGATGCAGGACTCCATCCCAGGACTCCAGGATCATGACCTGAGCCAAAGGCAGTCAACCAACCAACTGAGCCACCCAGGCGCCCCATGTCCTTTGCTTCTTTCTCCCCTTTCTAGGCCTTGTGGAAGGAGGGAAGCAAGGGACTCTGCAGGGTGGGTATGGGGGTGCAGGGGAAACAGATTTCTTTTTGAGTTTAGAATGCTTTTAAAATTAAGTGTTAGTTTTAATTCCAGTATGGTTACCATACAGTATTATATTAGTTTCAGGTGTACAATATAGTGATTCAACAATACCTTATATCACCTGGTGCTGATCACAACAAGTGCACTCCTTAATCCCTATCACCTATTTAACCCATCCTCTCACCCACCTCCCCTCTGGTAACCATCAGTTTGTTCTCTTTGGTTAAGAGTCTGTTCTCTTCTTTGTCTCTCTCATTCTGTCTCTCTGTCTCTCTTTCTTTTTTGCTCATTTGTTTTGTTTCTTAAAGTTTGGGCAATGGATTTGGGCTTCCTCCGAGGAAGGTGTAGAAACTGGGTGGGAATTGATTCCTAGGCCAAGAATGGCCCCTTAACTCTGTTAAGCAGGAAAGATTTCTGGGCCCTGGGAGGCAGCTGGGACCCACACAGGCATCTCTGATTCCTTCTTCCTTCTCTACAGAGTGTCCAAGTCAAGAGATGGACATTGTCTTCCTGATTGATGGTTCTGGCAGCATTGTCCAAAGTGACTTTAAGCAGATGAAAGACTTTGTCAGAGCCGTGATGGGACAGTTTGAAGGCACCAACACCCTGGTGAAGACTGGGTCCCCGAGGCCTGGGGAGTGGGGTGGGGGTGGCAGTTGCCTTGGGGAAGACCAACCTAGGAGGAAGCCTGATGTTGCTGGGGGTTGGCTCAGTGGACCTGTGCCTGACACTAGTGTCCTTGTGCATGGCTGATTTGAACCCTGACCTGAGGAAATTCCCCCATGGCATTTAATATGTCCCCACATGGCCTAAGAAATACAGTTTTGTACTGTTTAGAAGCATTGAAAGGATTGCAAAAATAGTTTTGCTGTGAAATTAGACTGAAGGTAACTTGGCCAAATAATTAATGATTTCATTACATAGTTTTCCATGTAACTCATGATTTATCTTATTATTTTATTTTCCAGTATAGTGTATATGTATATGGAAATTCTTGAGAAGTGAGGAAATATAGTCTACAAGTTGATTTCACATAATGAAATTTTTTAAAAATCCAAGTTTAAGAAATGTTGAGGTAAGAAAGGTTACTCCTTGCAAATTCTGAAAGAAGCATCATTTGTTTTTGATTTTCTAGTTTTCTTCTTGGGCCATGTTTCCCCTGGGTTTTAGCCTCAAAAACACATGGAAAGTGGTTTGTAAATCCAAAGTTATTCCAAAATGAAAAGTTTTTGAAGAAAAACTCCTGAGCCCCAGGGCCATCCTCTTCTCCTTTGCAGTTCTCCCTGATACAGTACTCCAACCACCTGAAGATCCACTTCACCTTCACCCAATTCCAGAGCAGCTCGAGCCCTCAGAGCCTGGTGGATCCCATCGTCCAACTGGATGGTCTGACGTTTACAGCCACGGGCATCCTGAAAGTGGTGTAAGTTTCCCCTTCTGCCTCATGTGGATAAGCTGCCACACTACTTCCTCACACTGGTCTGCACAGCCCTTTTGCAGGGCTGTGGGAAATCTGGTGAAAGGGGCTCAAAAGGGAAATGAGAGGGCTGTTGGTGGAGACTTCCCTGGAATGTTCTCTTGATGTAGAACAGCACTCCTCTGCAGTGTTTCCTCTTTGCCTGGCTTTACATTGGCTGGACCCTGATTCCCACTGGGGAAACCAGAGACATGGGCTTTGGTTCAGACATACCCAAGTTCTCATTCTGGCTCCCTGCTCGTGACCTGGGTCACCCTGGGATTTACTGACTCTTTCTAAGTCTCAGCAAACTGTCAAATGAGGATAAACTTCCAACTTGGTTTAAGAATTAAAGGTGATAACATGCATGCAATGCTTCTGCATCAGAAGTGCTAGATAAGTGGTTGGTGTTTTATCCAGACAATGGTGCACCCCCATTTTACCTCCCTGGCAGAGACTTGGGAATTGTTGCCAAGTGTTTTCTTTGTGTCTCTCTCCTCACTCATTTCCCTCTCTTCCCACATTCCTTATCCATATGAACTCTGTATTAACTGGGTGCTTACCATGTATGTGCCTGACCAGCTAGGATGACCATAAAGAAATGCCTTAGGTGTTGGGGCCAGAACAGAAGGTGTGGTTCTTATGGGAAAAAAGTAGGCTGAATGTCTGGGATTTTCAACTTCCTGTGCACCCCTGGGTGCCACTCTGAGGGTGGTGCTGGAGAAATGCTGAACAAAGGATGCTCCTGCCAAATGTACCCTCTTTACTGCTGGGTGGCTTTTCTGCCTTGAACACTGGCTGCATGGGACTGGACAACCAAGAGGAATGCCTCTGTCTCTTGAATTGAAAGTCACACAGGAGTGGCATCGCTTCTAGCCCTTGGAACTCCTCCCAGTGGTGGGTGACGGTGTGGTTCTCCTCAGCACCCATTCTCCTCCCCTCACCGAGAACAGCAGCTTCCCCTCTCCCCAGAACCAAAGCCATCTCAGGCCTTCTCTGCCACTGTTTTTTTTTTTTTTTTAGAAGTTTCATTACAAAAAAAGATAAAAATTTGCAATAACATTAAGGAAATTTTTGGAAAAAGTATTAGAGTCCCACCACCAACCACCTCACAGTATTTTAGCAAAAAGAAAGGATAAAAGAAATGAAAAAACAAATCCCACCCACAAAGCACAGGGCCATTTCCATCCTTGTTTTTATTCAGACATATTTCATATAGTCATAATGTGGGCAGAAACAAGTTTCATCCTGCCTTTTTTTTTTTCATCTGTTACATGAACCTGTGCCCTGTTTCTCTACAGCTTTTACTGTTTTCCTTTGAAATGGCTCTTTACTTTCTTACAAAGCAGGTGGATCATGATTTGCTAAACCCCTTCCCCGATCTTGGACATTTAGCTTGTTTCCAGTATTATATGTTGAGTGTGTGTGTGTGTGTGTGTGTTTATTCTGCATTTATAGAACTATATGAGCATAGAGCTACATTTTTAATCATTTGTAATAGCTACCACAGAATTAATGCTTACCTTTGGCCATTCACCGTTTTAAAAGCTTTCCCTCATTTGATCCTCAAAATAACCTCATATGATTTATCTCATTTATCTATTGTTGCCTAACAAACCACTCCCAAATTTAGTGACTTAAGCAACAACTCTTTTATTAATATTTTTCATGATTTAGGACTCATCTGTTTTCAGAAGCTAGAACATGAGAGATTCATTCACATGGTCCTGCCTGGGCAGGACTCGCTGGAAAGCTGGGCTCAGCTGGGATGGAGGAGACTTTCTCTCCATAGCTATAGAAGCTATAGAAGTCTTGAGCTATCGACTTCCCTCATGGTGGCTCAGGGCTTCCCCAAATGAAAGAGCTAACAAGGCTTCTTAGGCCCATAATTGGCATGGTGTCACTTCTGTTTCACGCTACTGCTGAAACCGGGCACAGGTCAGATTCAATATGGGAAGGGAACCAGGTGTGGCACACTGGGGGTCATCTTTGAAAAAGAGCTATGGTACAATTATTATTCTCACCTTCACAGAGAGAAGCAGAGGCTCAAAGAGGTAAAGCAACTGAACCATACTGCCTCCTGGAAATGAGGTTCTATGGTAGATGGAATTATAGAAAAGGGAATATGAGTACCTTTATTATTGATCTTACTAATCATTGCATGACTTTCAAAAAAGGCTGAGGTGATTTTTTTAAACACGCCTGACACAGTCTGATGGTACCAGGACTCCCCAGTCTCTCCATACGAGCTTCTAGTGCTACAGAGTATTTCTTTCCAGAATCAATTTCATCTACAGAGAGTCATCTCCCTTTCTTCCTTGACAGGAAAGAACTATTTCATAGTAAGAATGGGGCCCGTAAAAGTGCCAAGAAGATCCTCATTGTCATCACAGATGGGCAGAAATACAGGGACCCCCTGGAGTACAGTGACGTCATCCCTCAGGCAGAGAGAGCTGGCATCATTCGCTATGCCATTGGGGTATGTCCTTTTCCTCATGTCACCCTCACACTCAGGCTCAACCTCACCCAGGCAGAAAGGCTGGTGGGCTCCTCCTCAGCTGTCTCTCTGCCACAGGTGGGAAAAGCTTTCCAGGAACCCACTGCCAGGCAGGAGCTGAACACCATTGGCTCAGTGCCCTCTCAGGACCACGTGTTCAGGGTGGACAACTTTGCAGCACTCAGCAGCATTCAGGAGCAGCTGCAAGAGAAGATCTTTGCAGTTGAGGGTAAATGCAGGGCGAGCTTGGGTCTTGGAATAGAAAGGTTCCAGACCCAGTTGTCCCCTGAAGTTCTGGGGGGCCATCCCTATTCACAGCTCACCCAAAATTGTGCCCCAGAACCTGAGCTTTGGATTCATTCTTCTCCTTCTGCTCTGAGACCTTGTGGTCTCATGGCCCCCAGAGCCTAAATGACCTATTTCCCCACAGGAACCCAGTCAAGGACAAGTAGCTCCTTCCAACATGAGATGTCGCAAGAAGGCTTCAGTTCAGTCCTCACACTGGTGGGTGGAACACATACTTGATAAACAGGTCTCAGGCACCAATCCTGGGCCAACCATGCTGGGAGTTGGAACCCAGAAGTAAATAGGAAAGCAGATTCTCTCTTCAATGTTACTGTCTGTTTGGAGAGAGACATATAGGCAGTGCATGTAGGTGGTAGGAGCATAGCAGAGAACAGGATAGCCATGACTCCTGCTCTCATAGGGCACATATCCAGTGGGAGGAGACAACAAACAACAAAAAAATATCTTCAGATTGTGCTAGGCATTAGGATAGAGCAAGACAGGTGCTCAGAGGAGGCCTGAGGAGTGACAACTGAGGCTGAATGATGACAAAAGGCCAGCCCTGGAAAAATCTGGGAGAGATTGCTCCAGGTAGAGGAAAAAGCAAGTGCAAATGTCTTGAGGCATGAACACGGTTACTGCATTAGAGAGATAGAAGGGCCAGCATAGCTGGAGCAGAGTGAGAGAGGGGGGTGGAAAGATCGGAAAGACCAGATCATGCAGATGAAAGAAATAAGAATGTAGTATGACTTGTGTGCAAGTAGATGTGTGCTCAAAATATCCAGAAGGATTGCATCAGAATAATTTTGGGGGTAAGGAGGGGGACATAGAAATGAAACAATGTTGGTCATGAGTTGATCATTGAAGCTGGCTCATGGGTACTTGGGGGTTCATTAAGCATTTCTTTCTACTTTTGTATATGTTCTAAATTATCCATAATC